GAATATGGTTTCAAACATACAATAAAGCTCCCTGTGGCTGTAGGGACCCTCGCCTTCTTTTTCTTGCTACCTGAGGTTGAGGCACCTTCACCTCCTTGTTTCTTTCTCTTGTTTACACCCTGGAACCAAAAAAAAAAAAGTTTTAAAGCATGTTTCTTCAAGCATCCACTAAATTCATAGGGAAGAAATATAGTTTCATAGGGAAGAAATATAGTTTCAAAGGGAAAAATATCCTCAATCACCAACTAAATTATCAAAAAAAAAAAAAGCATATCTTTTTACCAACCAAAAGTAATCATACTTACAGTGATTTTCACTCTTGCACTTGCACTCTCATTTCTACCTTCTTCATTGTTATATGGGCATGTTCTTCCATTGTGCCCTTCATTGCCACACACCTTGCATGTCATTTTTCTCCCTTTTCCAGTGAGCTTCCTAAGCTTCCCTTTCTTCATCTTTTGTGGTTCACTTTTATGTCTTCTTCTCTTTCTCCTCGGCCTCCCTGGCATGCTCCTAACAGGTGGTGGTAACAACTCTTCTTCACCCATAGCTTTCCATGCTTTTGTCCCTTTCCTTATGCATTGAAGAGGGTATGCATAGGCAGCCAAATATTTTTCTTTCTTATAGAAATTTGAAATGCAGTGCTCTACTCTCCACCTTTTGTACCTTATGCAAGCCAAAGCATGAGGGCAAGGAACCCCCGAGAGTTGCCAGTATCTACATGTGCAAGTTTTGTCATCAAATTTGACAACATGCTAATCCCCACCATCATTGACCTCAAACTCATGAACCCCATTTGGCTGCACACCACATCCCTATGACTCTGCCTTCAGTTCCTCAAGCTTTTTTTTTTTATTCTAGGAGCAATGTCATCACCTTCAAGTCATTTTTCTGCAAATAGCCTTTTATCAACTATCCTCACCATCAACTGATCCCTAATATGATCATTCATTGCAATTATCGCCTTACACCTTGCCCCTAGTATCCAAGAGTTGAAAGTTTCAGAAATGTTGTTGTCAATTGAATCACATTTACAATTATCCTGGATAAATGCTTTGCACCAATGCTCTCTAGGGTACCCTAACAAGTCATCATGTCCTTGCCTATTCTTTGCAAACAAATCACCTAACTTATCAATGAAATCATCTTGAAATGTTGCCTTTGCATAATTCCAGAAGCAAATCTTCATCTCATCACCTCTATGACCCAACTTTGCCCAATTGCAATAAATATGCCTTGCACAGTGCCTATGCTCAGCCTCGGGTAATATTAACTCTACAGTTGATAATATAGCGTATTCCAATAATTAAAACCAATAACTGCAACAATGAGTAATTTTACAACAATTAACATAAAGTTTTAATAATTAAAAATAATAAATGCATATAAATAAATGAATAAAAGCTACTGATGTGTTCACCTGATGTTCATTTGACATAACTGTTACGCCTGCACCAGTGCCAAGATCTAAATCAGTTTTCAGTAGTTCAAAGAACCACTACCATGACTCAAGACATTCAGACTCCACTACTGCCCAGGCAATTGGAAACATCTGGTGGTTCCCATCCTTCCCAACTACAGATAGCAGAATTCCCTTACATATTCCCTTCAAGAAACAGCCATCAACACCAAAGAACCTTCTGCACCCATCCTTCCAACCTTGCTTTAGGGAATGCAGACAAACATACATTCTATGGAAAGTTCTAGTATCACTAAAACTTGTTTCAATGGCAGTGACAACAACAGTATTCTCTGGATGGCTATCCCTCAATATTTTGGCGTAGCTCTTCAAGTATTTGTATTCATCAACATAGCTACCCTCTAGTTGTGTCATAACATGCTTCTTTGCCTTTTCTGCCTTGTCAAGTGTGATGTTCACTTTAATTTCAGTCTTGCACCACTTAACAATCTTGGCTGGCTTTGTAAATGGTGCTTCATAAATCCTTCCTTTAAAAAGATCTGCTCCAACCTTGTAAGTTACAAGCTCATTGTCATAAGATTTGAAGCATCTATGCTCCCCATAGTATGTCTTCACCACAAAACACTCATATCTACTATCATAAGATGCAAACAACTCCCATTTGCACCCTGTTTGGCATTTAAACCTCACCCTAGTACGTTCATTTTTGACCTTTTGCAGTTGAGCTTACTTTTTGTATGGAGTATTTACAAACTGCCATTTTGAATTGCTTTGCATCTTTGAACCTCATCCCAATATCAAAATATGGGACCTTCCATTTTGGATTATAGTAGGTTTGACAGACATTTCTGCTAACAACATGATCTGGTTGCACAAAGATGTCATCCTCATCATCTGAATTCCAATGAAATTCCCAAGCACCAGGATAATCACTGTCTGCATAATCAGACTCCTTGTCTTCTTCATCTGTAGAGGAACCACTGCCATCACTGACGGGCAGTTGCTGCGTGTTGTCAATTGGATCACCTTTTCTCACCATATTCCCACCACCTCGTCTGACTTTATGCTGAGTAACATATTTCCTTTTTCTACTTCTACTGCATGTTGCAGTTTCTTCTATACCAGCAGCATCTGTCACAATAGCTTCTTGGACAGTAGCTTGATCATCTGTGACTGCAGGTTGCTGTTGTTGCTGGATAAATGGTTGCTCTTGAGTTACTACAGGTTCTTCAACATGATCATCTTCTTGCTCATTCCTAGTTGCAGTTTGCACAACTGCCTTAGACTTCTTTCTACTACTTCTTGTGGCATTTCTCCTTCTCTTCCTAACCTCCTGAGCCAACTTAGCAATACTGACTTGCTCATCATCAGTTTTGTCACTCCTCAATGACCATGCACTATCATCTGAACTTGTCTCCTAGTCAATAACTGACACATCATCACTACCACTATCGACATCACTACTTTTTTCACTTCCTAAATTACCCTCATCCCCATGCACAGAAACATCATTACCACTATTGTCACCCTCATCTTTGGAAACATCCCCTGTGAGCAATAGTGGACTCTCAACAATCTCAAGTATATTGATGTCATGGTCTACATACAACTCCACATTGCTAGCATATGAAATTATATCATTCATCTCCCTAATTGCACTGTCTGAATTATAAGAAACTAATCCATCTGGCATATCCATCCAAGGTTGCATATAGTAAATGTCTTTAATTGAAACTCGATCATAACCTTGTCTAACAACATAGTCAGTAATCATAAATGAATTCAACCTATCTGTATCACATGGAACATTCTCTCATACACCCCCTACATATCTAAATGGTGGTCCCTGTACAAAACACCCACCATAATTGAACCATACAATACCTCCACTTGGGTCCCCCATTACTGTACAAAAAATAAATTAATATCATTAAGGCATTACTTCATTAATTAAACTAACATAATAAGACAACACAAAGCACACTGATGGTGGGACACAATCGGTGGGACACAATCGGTGGGACACAAAGGAACAACATTCTTCAAGAAAATACAGAAATCCATAAAGAATGATAGAAAAATGAAACTTATTGACAACATAAAGGCACTCACCAAACTTTTTTGTCCTTTTTGTGCCCTTAATCATGCCATTTTTCCTCGACAATGGTCCCCTTTGATCAAATACTTTTACGAACTAATCTGAAACAAGAAGTTTTGATTTTCCTTTGCTTTTCAGACTCCTCACTGACATAGATTCCCTTCGATCGCACCAAATCGATGGGTTTCTGGATTGGGTTTTTTTCTTAAGACTGAGAAGAGAAGGTGGTTTTTGCAAATCTATTTTAAAATCTTTGGGTTTTTAGGTTTTTTTTTTTTTTTTTTTTTGGTGGGGACGCGGGAACAAGCGGGAAAAGTCCCGCGCAGTGGGCCCCACTACACACGTGGACGCCACATCATTAAAAAGCAGATCCACATTTGAACGTAACGAATAAGAAAACGCCGCATGTGTCACGTCAATTTCTGGGTGCCACGTAGTGCATTTTTTAACGATGTCGTGACGGTCCGTTAAAATATTGGGTTTTTCACGGGTTTTGAAAAGTGGAGGGTGTGAATAGAGAGGAAAAATTCTAGAAGGTGTTGACCGTGAAAAAAAAATAAATGGAAGGTGCAAATAAGGGTTTTGACCTTTTAGTTATTAATTTTACAAATTTGTACTCAACAATTTTGGTTTAGTCTAAATAGTGTAGACCCCTAAAATAGTTTTTAAGCCTCTGGCCGTTGGTGTTTTTAGGAAGAGTTTAAAATTCTAAATTGATGCTCTTAATTTCAACGAGTGGAAGAGAGATGCGGGAAAGGATTGCTATCATGCTTATATAGCAGATGTACCAAAAAAGTCTCCATTGATAGGTGGTTCGCAGTGGCATACAATGAGAATTAGAGTGTAAAAATCTCTCTCAGGCATTTTCACAAACACTTTGTTGTCTGGAGGTTAACAACGCGGATATGGTTTTAATTCCAGGTCGGTGAACATAATTGTTAGCTACCCAATTCATTTTTCCTTTTCTTTTAGCTTGATCAGATTGGTATTGGCTTACACCCCTGCTTTGATTCTGTTTATGTCAGATTCTAGTATTTGGATTATGTTGCCTGTCTCTGATTCAAAAGACGGATGACATTTCATCTAGACCTTCTGAACATACAGATGAAGTTGATTCCATTAATGTTTGTGCTTTGCCCCCCAAATGGGAAAGAATTGGTTTTTGTGTTGTCCTTGAAAATGCTAGAACAAAGAAACGATATACCATCTGTTTGCCTTAGTTCGATGTAACATGGTGTCGAGAAAAGCTTGTACATGACAGAATTGCATTGCTGGTTTCTGGGTTAGCTGAAGCTTGCATGTTTTGATGCCCATAAGATAAAACATCAGGTGAATGTCATTTCAATAAAATGGGAACAGAGGATGGATCCATGTTCCTGGAGTAAAATGTTAAATTTTGAATTCCACGAGTATGAATGGATCACATACTAGGATATTGATGTTTAGATGGAAGCTGAAGACACGTTCTAGCTTTAAAAGTTTACATATACTTTACCTGCTGTTAATCCATGCTTATAAATGGCTTCATTTAGGTTATCTCCTTAGACAAGTATGCCAATATAGTTTGTCTCTGTCGAGCAGCAACTAATAATTGTAATTTCTAACAAATCATAATTGCCACAAACGAGTGCATTGACCATAATAAGGATGGTTTTGTCTCTGAGAACCCAGAATTAGATAAAAGGCAAATGGAAGGAAGAAAATCCCCCTAAGTACAAGAGGAATAAATGCACTGAAATAGATAAGCTTTCAATGTTGCGCTCACTTTTGGGCTCAAGATAAAGTTTTTAGCAATCTAAGTCAGAGAGCTGTTTATCAATCACTAAATGGGTATTGCTCATACCTAATTGTACAATCATAGAGAATCGATCGAGCCCCTATTCGGCTTTGACAAGTGCTAAACATGTTTGTTTTAGCAGCAGCGAGACAGGTTGCACAATCTGAGCTTGTGAGGTTCTTGTTACAAGCACAATGGCCATAGGCAAAAGCATTAGGATATGGAGAGATGTTATAGTAGTCATAGCCTTTGCGAGTAGGTGTAACAGTTTCTAAATCTGCAAGAACATAGGCTAAACTAATAACAAAAGGATCACCACTAGAATACACACCTGAGTTGCAGAGAACAGTTCTCACGTTTGTATTTGGAACACATCTCACAGTACTGCAGAACATGTACATCCCAATTATAGCTACCACCAGTTTAGGTAGATGACCCATCTCTCTCTTCTCTTCCTCTCTTGCTTTCCTCTGCTTTTCTGATCAGAAACCAACCTTTGTATGACTTTTAGGTGAGTTTTTCACACTGTTTTTTCCACCAATCTTATGCATTGTTTGTAAATGCATTGTTTTTGTCCTATTCATTTGTATTAGTTTGAAAATTTCTTGTTCCATTTGTATTTATTTGTTTCATTTATTTAATGTTTCTTCTATGGACTTTGTATTGGTGATCTTCAAAGCCGCCCTTAACATCTTATCTCCACATCAGCACAGCTATTTTTTCACTTTTCCATTTTGTTGTCACATGTAGCATTTGAAACATTATATATATATATATATATATATACATATATGCAGGAACCTGTGTAGTGGTTTGAAAAGTAACTGAATAAAATCAACAATGATAGAGGTAACTTTTTGAGCTTGGGAAGCCATGAGTAAAGTTTTTCAATCCAGGAACTTGATTTGAGTAAAGTTTTTCAATCCAGGAACTGGATTTGAGTAAAGTTTTTCAATCTAGGAACTTGATTTGAATAAAGGTTTTCAATCCAGGAACTTGATTTTGACTGACTAATGTTCAGTTTGTTTTCTGAACAAGGTTGCAAAACATGGTCCAAATATATACTAATCTTGAGCTACCTGTGACTAATCCTACTTAAGAATTTTTAACTGTTGGCTGATAAAAAATGAAGAAATTTTAACTGTTTTGAGGATTTGGTTTTCATTGGTATAATTCAAGAACTTTTTCCCTTTTTTATTTGGTATAATTTTGTTACCCAAATTCATATTTCACCCTACCATACTTTTACTAAGACTGTGGCTTCATTATTCACACGACTAAGATGGTTCAGTGACAATCAGAGGTGTCAAATCTACATACTGGAGTAGGATATAATCATATGTCACACCATTGCTTCAATTAATCACAAAGTGACAAATGTAGCAGTATTTATGTTTTGGAATTCGATTCCATAATGGATTTTAGTTACAAATAGTGAACTAGTGATTAGCTTCTCTTCTCTGATAAGCACCTTATACTCTATGTACGTTTAACATTCCACCTCTTTTGTACTTGTCCAGTACTGTTTGTTACTTCTTTTCAAACAGTTGCTTTCTTAAATAAGTCATTAGCCACCTTTCCTTAGAAACCCTCATTTTTTTTTTCTTTTTCTTGGGCTAGGGGCTGCCAATAGTAGATGTATATCTTTGCTACAGGCCAAAATTTGATTCTCTGCAGTACACTGCGCTCATTATTTGTTTATGAAGATCAATTATTTTGTATGGAAACCAGCAAGTTCTCCAAGTTCTTCAATTTCTTTTGCCAAGTCTTCCACCTTGTCTATCATCTTCATCAACAAGAATATGGAGCTTGCAATTGCAAGTCCATCAGCATTCTCCATTTGTCCAATTGTAGAAAGAGTCTTGACCTGACTTAGCTCTAGCGTCATTGACTTTAACTTTTGCACCATCAAATTTTCAGACTGGCACTTTTTCATTTTCTTGATGCTCTCCCCAAGTTCTCGTAGTGTCCATGCAAGTGATGACCCAATAACAGTGTATGGTTCTTTAATTGACTGAAGTAAGGTTTCTGAGGACTGGTGATCCATAGTTTTTTGGACCAACAATGAGTTAGTGAAATTTTTTATAAGAAATATGCATTAAAACGAAATTTGTTCATGCATAAAGGATGGGATGTGGTAAAAGAAAGTATATAAGCAATCTATACCATTATAGGAGATTGAAGGCAGCCTTGAAGTGAAAGGATGGTTGCAGCCAAATCTCTGAGAACATCTCCTATTTTTAAGTATTTCTCCCAAGGGTATGAAAAACCAAATTTTCTGTGCCATGGTTCCCATTTTGCAAAATTTACCTGACAATTCCTAAAGTTGTAAGTCCGAAAGCCAAAAGACTGTACATTGGTTTTCAATTGTTAGTGTTTACAATTTTTAGTGTATTTCAGATTATTTATGTAAAACCAAGTTGATATCATGCTACTAGAAGATGAGTGACTAGCAGATATAACATACCAGTGATTCATCCTTTGCTTTAGAATGCAGCAGTGATTTGTAACTATTGGAATTAGCACTAGAGCAATTTCGCTTCTCCCCAACACTGTTGAAGTATTCCGCTGAGCATCCTATACAAGAAATGACCTTTAAGTTATTTATGAGGTAACAAGTAGATGACTGAGATGAGTGACACGGGTCAAGATGAATTTCTCTGTTATAGGTGTGATTAACATAACTATTTTGTCTTCTCAATAGCCAAACTTTAATATAATGTTGTATTTAAAAAAAAAAAAAAAAAAGAGGACTTTGAAATTATATTATGTTATTTAAAAATTCCTTCTATTTTTTTTAAAGATGATAGTTAAGCTAGAGGTTAGCTCCTATTGCTCTTCTTGTTGCTATTGTTTTCTTTTCTTTATTTGCTGAAGGACTTCACCTTCAATAGAGCGAGCTAAGTCTTCAATTCTAGAGGCTATGGAATCGTGAAGTTCATCACTAGCCCATGTGGGGAAAACAAGTAAGCTTATGAAGATGCAGACAGCAAACCCCATGACAATTGTTGAGAGACGTTCTCTTGCTAATGCCAGGACATTTTCAGCCCGTAAACCAGAGACTACGACCAGATTGAAGGTGAGAATAAATATCATTGCTGCATAATCATAACTCCTTTTGATCCTTGGAACTAATCGACTGTATGTTGCTGCTGCCCCTGAAAGATTCATGTTCAGACTGTTTTCAGATGCTTTGAAATTTACTATAGTGATTTGAAATATAAAAAGATTGAGACTGAATCATGTTGGGATTTAGAATTTAGAATAAGCAATTAGATATTGTAGAGAAATTTATTTAATGCTTCACTTGATCCATATTAACGAAGATTTTGATGCTATGGAGAAATTGCTAGGTAGACTAAGACTATAGTTACCTGGTTAGGAATTTTGGATCAAGAAATAAAATTTTCTGACTCTAATCTTAGCCAGAAGATTCTAGCTAGCTTGTTTGAATTTTCTACTCATAATCTTTGAGCCATAAATTACTAATAATTATGATTGCTTTCATCATCAACTACTAACTATATGCTAGTTGCCTGCTGAGAATGTTAGGAAAAAAACTAATGTGGAAGTTCCAAACTTAGTGGATCATTTAGAGAGTGGGCTCAAGTCTTACCAAATATGAAAACTGAAAAGCCAACAACTATGGCGTTGCCAATCCCACCAACTTGTTGGGCGAAAGCTGCAGCTAAACACCCCAATCCTCCTCCTAGTACAGTTCCAATCCCACGATTGAAGCCTTTGCGAAGTGTAGCACCTGAGAGGTATTATATGAAATAGGGTCATCAGTGAGAAACAACAAAGATTTTGAAAACTTTAAATCAACTAAAAGAGGCTGTCTATACAAACCTGCATAGAACTCAAATATGACCACAACAGTCATTATAGCCCACATGGCATTATCCCCCACTTGCTTGTAGAGAGGATTTAGGAGATAGAGAAGAGACACCAAGACAAGAGCAATTCCAACCTTGATGCTGTGAATCAGTTTTTTCACTTCTTGGTTGTTTTTCTTCTCCTTAAAAATGGAAATAAGAGGAAGTGAAACTTGAAACTTCTTCTTCTTGATTGGAACCTCTCCCTCATCTGGAATAGTTATAACAGTTGAACTCATTGTGTTAAGTTCTTCACTTTTCCTATTTCCCTTTTCTTCTCAGTTGAAATTTTCGATTTCAACTTGAGGAATTGGCTTGTAACCAACTATATGTATATATATATATATAGACGCATCTTCGTTACATGAATAAAGTGGGGAGTACAATAGCACTCATTCCAAATTCCCAAAGTGGACTCAAGCTTTTTGAATTTCTGACCATATTGTTGGGGCCCTAGAAAAATTTAAGCTTGAAAATTGTGCTTATGCATTTATCTTGATACCAAATTCATGTGTGAAGTTAGTGACCCCCGTGGAACACACTTGCACGGCATGAACCCCATACCTTCAAATACACAGAGGTCTTTTCACAAAAACTCTCTTTTTGGAAGCACTAAAGCCTAAATTTGAACAATGTAGCTTGGAGACATAGGTGGGGCTCTAGCTAATAAGAACCAGGCGAGGAGTGTTTTGGATGACTCCTGCACACAAAGATATTAATATGACTAGCAACAAGGAAACACAACTGATAAATCCTCAACAAATTTCAGCATTCTTTTGGATTGATTTTGTTATGCTAATGGTTACAAGAAAAGTTTGCAAATGTCATTTCATGCACGAAGTTTGCTCGTTGATAAATTCCTTTTTTCAACCATCATTTCATCATTCCTTGCACGAATTTCTTTATGTTTACATTAATAACATAGTAGGTGATTATACATCTGTGCAATGAAAAAATAAATGAGCACAAGATCTTAGCTGATATATGATCTTTTAATCTTAGAGTCCTCTTATACGATTCTTTAATGATTTGAGGTAATTATTTATTTTCATTTTACTGGCCAATAGGCTATGAGTACTGCCAGAAAAGTTTTTGCACAATGAATCAATGGAAAATATTTTAGTTGGAGACAAGAAAGATCACAGGCTATGTCTGGTCATATTAATTAAGACTTAGATATATGGTACAGCGTTAGATTAATGATGATTGACTAGAAAATGACACCACCAAGAGCCATAGTGGAGATTCTAGAGGGTATACGTGTTTTGCGCACTTTCTGTTGTCTCTTGCGTGACCTATTTGTATTTCTTCATTATGATTTGCTCAATGTTGTGTCAGTAATTCCTATCTTGTTGGCCCTCCTGAAGGAATACATAGTGCTGCTTCAAATTGAAGATGATCGTCCCGCATGCAAGAATTTGTAGCGTTGTGGTTTCTGATTAATCCAGATTTGACTCCAGCTCCATGGTACCTAGAAAATGCACCAAGCTCCACGGTAGTTTTTGCTGTTTTAACTCAAAAACTGCCAAGAGACTCAAGCCACCTCCAGGAGAAAACTTTTTCGTGTGAAAGCAGCAAAAGGTACCGTGAAACAAATTCTAATGTAAAATGATTAAGGCTGCTTTGCTATGTGTACGGTAATCGTACATTCGATGTGCCAATTAAATTAGTATTAACAATCTAGGAAGATAACATCATCTTTTAGTAGTGTGGTTGGGTAAACCATTGGAATTGCATTTGATTTGGTAAAAAAATAGAAAATACTAGGGTTAAGATTTTTATTAATATCTTGGAGACTAAGTTGTGTAATGTGATTATACGATGTTGACAAAAACCTGTAAAGAGGATTGTTGTTTTCTCCCCCTCATGTTTTTTTGGGAGACAAGAACCTAACTTTGTTTTTTAAGTGGACATCGTACTCTCTTTAGAGTGGGCATTATAATTTCTTTTACTAAAAAAATCAAGCACTAAGAAAAAACTTTTTTTTTTGCAATCAGATAAACAGGTCAAGAATAGCCCCTTACTTCTCCTCAATCTGGGTTCTCCCTGATATATTTTTGGAGGATTTTTTTGGTACATTTTAATGGCATATAACTAAGAATAATTCTTTTCCTTTTTCAATTGTTTGTTGTCATTCCCAGAATTTAAATATAAAACTTTCAAATAAAAGCTTAAGGTGATATGATGATATCTCCTAAAGAAGTGCTTTCAAGTGAACTATAAGGACAACAACAGCTAACAACTTTCAATGCTAATCACACAATATTCGAGTATGATTAAATCTTGAAATTATAGATCATGGTTTATTTTCAATATTTACGTTTCTATCTAGATAAGCACATGGTTTGCACTTTGCAGCACCTTTTTCTTTTTTGGGTAAGGTTAAATTTTATACGAAAATACTATGATTACAATGTCTAAATATGCATATAATTTACATTTTATAGTGCCGCATTATTTTTTCTGATGAGGTTAAATTTTATATGACAATATTATAGTTATAATTTTATGTACAATTATAAATTTATAATATAACATCGTTACATATTTAATTTTTTTTATTTGAGAGTTCATTTATAATATTATATATATTCATTTGTTTAATTTCATGTTATATTTCATTTAATGCAATGTAAAATTGTAAATCACAACATTTGTGAATTTCAGATGATAGTTATTGGGAAAAAAATAAAGGTGTCATATGATAGTTATGTAGGACAATTTAGGGTCTATTTGGTTTGAATGCAAAGGTAGAGAGAAGAGATTATTTCAATCAATTAAAGCAAACCAAACACCGCTCCTCCTCTTCACTCAAACCAAACAAAGCTTTAAAGCTTGATTCCCTCATATAGCCTGTCTTCATTTCAATTAGAGCTATAAACTTCTTCTCTCCCGCTCCACATTGTTCACGATACATGCATTTTACAAATCTGTCATAAAGTATTTAGCATAATTAAATTTCGTTCACAGGTTTGGATATTCATGATATATATTTAGAAGATACAAATGGCATATACTATTTTCTTTGTTTTATACTCACTCTATTTTAAAATAACTTTCATTTTTTTATTATTTTTTTTAAAATTAAAGATTTAAGGGCAATTCATGTAATTTCTTATATTATGCTCACCATATATTTGGGTTAAGAAAAATGAAAGGAAGTGGAGCAAAGTAGAAGGTTTTCTAACCAATCAAATAAAGTCAAATAAATGAATAATGATTGGGTTAAATTAAGGAAAAAAATGTTTATCTACCTTAAAAAGTAAAAAATCGATAATTAATTTAAAACAAATTCAAAGTTAAAATATAACAATTATTTTAAGATGAAAAAGCATTACCATTCTTTGTCTGATATATGACATGACATTTTATAAGTAAGTTTTTTCAAGATTAGTATATATTTACACATTTAATTTAATATTTCTATTAATTATATATCTAGTATTGTTAAAAAAAATGGAGAAAATTCTACAGGACTCACAGTGGCCATAGTTACAGCCACCAAAAGAATTGTTTGAACAACACAAAAATAATATATTTCTACAATTATATTTAATTTAACTATTAAAAATAATTAATAGCTGTAATTATTAGTTAATAGTAGATAAAAGAGATGATATCTTCCTTGTTTCAAAATGGTACATCCTTTTTTTTTACACTCTTTTATTGGGATCAAGTATTTAAAGACAATCTTTAATTTCACTTATTTTATCTTAAAAAAAGAATTAAAAATAAAGAGACTTTTTATGATATGATAAATAATTAAAATTAATGGATAATTATATGGTTAAAATAAAAAATTATTCCTTTTCTAATGTGTGATGAGGTCTCATGTTAAAAGTGTAATTACTAGAGGAAGTAATAAATATTCCTTTTCCTTAAAATTTGAAGAAACAATTATTATTTTGGAACAAATTATAAATAAAAAAAGAGCTCATTTTTCCTATTTCTTTTTTGGAATGGGGAATGTTTAATTGTTTAAAATCTAAAATACTATTCTTTTTATTTTATAATAACTATTATTTTTTTACTCTTTTTTTAAATTAAAGATTTAAGAATAATATTTATATTTATTTATAATACCCTTAAAAAATAAAAAATAAAGAGATATTTTTTATAATTAGATGATTAATTAAAGTAAATAAATAATAATAAGATTAAAGGAGAAAAAATATTTTTTTCATCTTAAAAAAATAATGATTAATTTAAGATAAATTAAAAATAAAAAATAATAATAATTTTAAAAAATCAAAAAAATATTTTTAAACATGCTAATAATTATAAATTGATAAAATAAATAAATTAAACACATATTATATTTTATGTGGCCTCCCTTGAATGGCCCATAATATCTCCCACTCACAGCACGACAGCGTGCTCTAATTTGAGACGACATGAGACGCGTAGACCGTGCGATCTGGTGGATGACGGAGCATCAACTAAACAATGTTGAATCGTACGTGGTGTCGGCAATTGCTCGGAAAGAGCCCAAAAAAAATGGGAGAATTATGGTATAATCATTTAAAAAGTCAAACCAGTTAAAGGTACGGATGATTGTCCGTGGCACGGCATTCTTGACTCATTGGCTCAGTGACTGCGCCAACCGTAAGAAAGGGTGGTGTTATTGCCACAGCCACTGATGTTAATACCACAGCTTTTTTTAATTATTTGACTATTATACCCCTCATTTGAATCAACTTGCAGCAGTCACCGCCTTCTCCGCGTGGGTTAATGGTCAATTAATTAAAAAAGCTGTGGTGTTAACCTTTGAAGCTGTGGCAATAACACCACCCTAAGAAACTTTCACTTTTTCCACCACCCCACTCAGGTAAAATGTTACACGCGAGGGATTGGTAAAGGCCAACCCACTAAATTTATATGAGAGTGGGGCTGATCTTTTTTTATTTTTTTATATTAAGTGTATAATGAAAGTTAATTTTTTTTATTTATTATCATATTTTATTTAAATGTCCTGTTATTTAAATTTAAAATTTTTTATTTACAGCAAAAAGAGATTACAGCAAGTTGATTATTTTAAAAAAAAGAGTGTATTTTTAGATTATCAATTAGAATAAATTATTTTAAAAAATAATTTAATTTTTTTAGAAAACAATTTTATTTTTAATCTTTTCTTTTATTTAAGATGTGAAATTAAAATTTTAATGTATAAGTAATTATTTAAAGTTACCATTCTCTTATGTGAAAGGATACAATACTTTTTTTTATATAAATTAATTATAAGACAATACTACCTTAATGACATTTTAAAATTACAAGTTAAAAGATTTTATTAAAAAAAATAACATTT